TTTGGAGATTTTGGCTGCCATTCTTTCATATGGAACTGCACATGTACGCAAAAATATATAAATGAATATTTAAATTATATGTTTATATATATATATATAATACACATATGTAGCGCTGCTAGGTATAATTTTGGTGGGCAAGGTGACGTTGGGAGCAAATTTTAAGAGGCCCACGTATGACCTACACTTGGTGATATTTTTTCTGGTTTTATAGAGGGGGTAAGGGTATTGGATGCATTATTATTGTTATAAGTACACGTGAGCACTCACAATAAAATAAATGTTCGGTACATACGTACCTGTGGCCGACTTTATTTTTATGGTAAGAAAAAAAAAAAATGCTTTCAGTTAAAACAGGTAAAAGTTCACTGCGTGGAGGCACTGGCACAATCTCTAGTGTTGGCGAAAGGTGGAGGAAAAGAAAGAAGCACCTCGGCGATGGATACGGTGCATAGTGCGTGCCCCGCGCAAAGAAATACATTTATATATATATATGGTAACTTAAATTTTTATATATAAAACAACAGGAGGTGCGTACATTGGTGTACGCGTTTTTATGTACATACAATAGAAAACAATAAAATAAAAAAAAAAACCCGGGGTTGCAAGCTTTTGTTTTTTGTTTTTGTTTTTGCTTTCATATCTTCACCCTCTTTTGGGTAATTAATCATCACCATCACATCATCCCTACCACCCCATAAGTATTTGATCCTCTGGGCCATTGAGCTTGCAGTGCCCGCATACCATATATAAGGTATATAAAAAATAACCCATGACCGTTCACCACTTTCGCTTAACAAAAATGTTAACTTAATTCACTGGGCAAGGAACAAGTGCAAAGTGATACGGTTTTTTTTTTTTTTTTTTAACAAAAGGGTTTCATCACCGTCACGTGTGAAGGATTATTTTGCCTCACCACGCTTACCATAACGTGAGTCAATGTTTACTAAGAACAACAATTAGCTATATTTTTCCTACATGGGAAATTCATCTCCAGTGTGAAAAAAAAAAAAACCTCAACTCGTTTCTCCTTAATGAACAATCCAGTGAAAGGTTGGAGTTAGTCCCAAATAACCAGCAGTAGGAAAAAAGGAACTTCAATGGAAGAACAGCAAAATGTATTACTTGTTATTGTTGCATACCTTTTTTATGTGTTATCACACAGATTAAAGGAGCACCCCTAACTAATGAAAAAAAAAAAAAAAACCATCACCTATACGGAATAGGCACACCAAACACACTTGCCTTGTGTTCTGAATTGGGATAAACCCAAAACGCAGTAGGGTTAAGATACGCAGGTGTTCCAATTTGTTCATGTATAGCTTTCGAATGGATTAACACAGTGTGGCATGTTATGCGGACATTTTCCCATTTTAAGGAAATTAGTTTTTTCTTTTTTTCCCCCCGTCGTTAAAGTAGGGAAAAATAAAAAAGGCACATTTCGTATGCAGTCGCGGGGCATAATATATATGCACAGTTCTTGTACTGCCATTTCTTATGTGATACTTTGGATATTGTCGTTTGGGTTTGCATTTTTTACGCGCATGACAAATTTGTGTCACCTTCAAGCCTCCGTTAAATTTAAAATTATATATAAAACACGTTTACGCGTATTTAACAAGTTTACCCCCCATGTGCATATTGTATTTTTTTATTTTTTTACACTTACACTTGTGTATCCCTGTTGACGAAAACAAACCCCCCCTTTTCAAATGCGAACATTTCCAAAAGATGTGAAGGGGTCCTATTATTAGCTAAACAAAAATTCTGCGTATAGCACATATCAATTGTGGTCCTATTTTTTAAAGGGGTCACACAAAAAAAAATATTAAAAACAAGAATAATATTCACTGATCGGAGGTAAAATTTTGTGCAAGCTTCTTCATTTTTTTAAATGATACTAGTTCTTTAAAAAAAAAAAATGTTGCAATTGTTGTACGGGGAGTAATTATTATTTTTTTTTTTTACTCTCCCTTTTTTATACTCCCTGTGCATGTTGCTATAAGCGTGCATGTGATAACATTACGCCATCTCCTAAGCGAACACAAATGAGCAAAGGAGAAACGGGAATGTGAGCTGTTAATGTGCAGATCGGAATAGGTGCGATGTCGTTTTGCTCAGATAAATCGCTGCATTTTGTCCATTTAAGAAAATTGTTCTTTCTCGTTACGCACGTTTAGTATGCGTGCACGTGTGTATGAACGTGCCAGAGCGGATGATTGCTTGCCTTCGCGCGTCCAACACGCAAAGCGACCACGCGTGTGTGCACGCTTCAAGTGAATTTTTTCGAGCACAAAACAGAGCGGAAAACTTGTACGCCCGTTAAAAAAATATGTTTATATATACATTTATAAATGCTCTCGCGTCTTAATTGGCACCACGACAACACCCGTGGCAGTTACCTCGCCGCGCTGAAAACACAAACGCACACTCCGTGACGAATCGCTTCAAAATGGCAAGGAAAGACTACATCTGGATTGTGTGTAAATTCTACTGCGGGAATAAAAGGGGAGCTGTCAGCAAAAAGCAAGAGGAGGAAGTTTTTAAAATTCTCGAAAGTTCAAACATGCCGCTAAACGTTTTGATTAAGGAAGTACGACTGAGCTTTTATCTGTTCCACCACAAGCAGTCTTTGCACATACTGCTCCAGTGTGTGCCCATCACATAGCCGTATATGCATACATACATGAGAGAGAACACAAGCATCAAAATAATATCCTCTCGTGTGCATAAATCATTGTGGCGGCCACCTACATGTGCTCCTACCTAAAATGAACCCTTGTTTTTTGTAGGAATTCGACAGGAAGGCAACAATGCTGTATGGGAAGATTTACAAAAGCTTAATTTTTTCTCGCTTCCTCGGTAAAAAAAAAAAATATATATCATTTACATTGATGAAGTAGAACTAATGCGTAAATGGACTTACCATCGAAAGCGCTAATACATGCAGATTCACCCCCCACAATCATATACTTTCCCATTTCCTTTTCTTTCCTCTACTTAGTAATTTTCGCAAATTTGAGACTTCGACTTTTTATCATCCGAACTAGTAATGTGAGTACATATTCCAATTGGGCAAATGATCAAATTTAAAAAAAAAAAAAAAAAAAAAGCTAAAAATTATAAGTTTAAAATGCTGCGTCCACAACGACATAAAATAATCACTGCGATTATAACACATGGAGCATGGTGTTTCCCCCCTTTTGTAGAAATTCAAACAAGACATTTCACTCTTGTCGCAGTTTGTAACCCTGTGTGATGATTATTTGGACGTTCAAGTTCTATACATTGGAGGTTAGACGCACAGATGGGCCCACTCAACTGTGCTATTCAAGGAGCAACATTTATATGTGCTTGTGGGGGAGGCAACATATTCATATAGACGGGATGGGAAATAGACCCAATGTGTGTTCACACATAAGTGGCACCCATTTCTAAGCGCAATTTTTATGCATTACACTGTTTTATTATTTTATTATTTTTACCCCCCTTTTTAGTGACGCTGCTCAAGTGCAAGCGATTTTTGATGAACCTGTTCATTCAGTTAAAAATTGAGGAAAACATTCCCATCATTATGAAGTAAGCTGTTTTTCGCATTAGAGTTTTTTCTCTTGGGCTGTCAACCGTCGTGAAAAACGTGCCGCTATGTGTTTTTGCGTCTACCACATTGTACCATCCCCTTTATGCGCGATTTTAGGGAACTGGAGCGTACATAGGGAAAGCCTGTCGAGGAACACATTTTAAAAAGCGTCTGGCAAGGACGCCGAACCGGATTAGCTCATTTTGGACGAAGTCTAATTTTGTGGTTCACACATATGCAGGTATATGCTACATTTGTTTGCGGAATTGTGTATGCACCGCTGCACACTTTTTTTATGTGCCATTTGTACCGTTTTTTTTTTTTTTTTTTTCTTTTCTCAAATTTATACGAGCACAGCCTCGTTGTCTCTTATGACGACACTTCCGGTGCCTTCCATTTTTAAAGTATTATCATTCACGATGCTGTACTAATTAAAATGCAGGGGAGGGATAATCCACCCCCTGTGCAGTTACCCATTCGTGGGAGCCTATGTTGTATGTAAAGATGTATTCAAATTTACATACGCATGAAGTGTACCTTTTTTTTAATTAAAAAAAGAGCTTTAATGTATGCAAAATATTTATATACGTGTTTCGTTTTGTTTGTTTGTTTTTTTTGTTAAACTCTTAGCTGTTTACGCAAGTGTAAAAAAAAAAAAGAAAAATATAAAATAAAAAATGTATTAAAAATGTAAATTGTATATCAGTTTGGCACGTTTTGCAAATGCTGTTATACGTAAGAGATAACTGAACAGATAAACAACGGCATGCATATTCTTTGTGTGTCCCCTTTATCTGTTTCTTCTTGGCAAAAAAAAAAAAAAAAAAAAAAAAGGATTCCCCGCAAAGAGGTGCAAAAAAAATGAAGTCAGCAAAGTAACCTATACAATTTATACATTTTTTTTTTTTTTTTTTT